TACATCTTTTGTATTTTTTGTTTTTTCTATATATAAAAAATCATGTGATATGACGTAATTTCGACCATTTCGACTTTTATTTCGACTTTGACCTCCAAAGTCGAAACATTTCGACTTTTTGGGTTTTCATTTCGACTTCATGTATAGGTGTGATCAGTTGATTCAAACGAGATTGAAATAGAACTATGGGAAGTAAGTTGCGTATTTTAGTATTTTTTCTAGATTTTTTTCTTCAATTTACAATACAAATAAAATACTGCAGCTAGACTGAATTGTTAATAATTTAAAAAAAAATTCTTTTGACTAGTATAAAGAAGGTAATTATATATTTAATAATTGTATTTTATTTTTTTACATTAGTTAGCTTAATTAGTAAATTGTTTATAATTATATGATTTTGATGCTTTATGTAATAATAATCAAATAAATTAATTCATATATTTTGTATTTGATAATCATATAATTGCATAAATTTTATATTAGTTAATCATATAATTTTACATATTTTATATTTGATAATTATATATAATCTTAAAAATGCTATTATATAACTATAAAACTATATTACACATGATCCATTAGAATATTGAATATATAAATATATATGAGTGCATTTTATTTATAATACATAAAATACAAATTCTCAATATTAATTTAATTTAATATAAAATCTATAAGATAATCATGCTAAAGATTAATAATTCTATTAATTATTAATTATTATTCTAATTAATTGGTATTACAAAAAACTACTAAAAAAACCACTTCTGATTTACTTACTAATGGATATTTCTATAAAAATAAATAAAAAATAAAAAAATAGTTAAAATACTTATTAAAAAAATACTTTTATAATTAATATTTATTATTTTTGTTATTTTTATTATAATTTTATTACATATATATTATATCATAAAGCTAATTTAAAGTCAATTTAGGATTAGAAATCATTTATTTTTTGATTATTATGTTTAATCACAAAATAATACTACTTACTATTTATAAAAGAAGATCAGACTATATTATGCAAATTAATCTCTTTCTAAAAATATGAAATAAGAGTCAGTTATAAACATATTTCACATGAATGTATGTAAACTAAGGAATAAACAAATGGAATCTGTACTTATTTATATTGAAATATGAAAAATGTGAAATTGTGAGATTTATGATTTTCATTATCAAATACTAATTATGAAATATTTATAATTAATTGCATATTATATATCATATGTAACATAGCAGATATTTGCATGATTGACCATTACATAAAATTGTATAATATAGTTTTTTATACAATTTAAAGTAATGTAATCAGTTGCTAAAATCTTAATAATCTTTTTATGTAACAATAAAAAAACTATGATAATATATTCTAAGATGTCTGTTATGTTATTTTAACAAAATAATCCTGCTAATCTTACAGTTTTCAATAGATATTTTTAACAATTCTGAAAGTTATATATAATGGAAATTCTGAAGAAGAAACTTGCTAGGCTATATATTATTTGTAAAGTAAAAGGATTTAAAAAAATTTTAAAGATTCATAATAGATACTAAATATAAAATTTGCAAAAAAAAACTATAGATATTATCCAATTTTTTATAATTACTACATAAGTTATATAGTAATGCTATTTGATTTTTATAAATATAGATACAAAAAAATAGTAAAAATCTAAGATAAATTGATTATGAAGAGAATTTGTAATGATGGTAAATCTGAGTTAATAATAGAAGAAATTAACTTTACATTAAAGATTATTAATAATAAGAGAATCAGTTAAATTGATTTTATTGGAATGTTAGATTAAGGATACAAATTTTTTATATAAAAGAAAAAAAAATTGCTGATTTATGATTAGAAGTTATTTCAGGTGAATATAAACCTGAAGTGTTATCAAAGCAACCATTATTTAATTCTCAAATTATTATTAATAAAATTGAGGACAAATTGACCAATCATACACGACTTTTATTCTTTTGATGGAAACTATGTTAGTAAACCAAGTCGAAAATATAAAAAATATCAGTTTTTTAACCAGTTATTTCAACGATTCCAATAGAATTTCATGTTTTAATGCATTTTTTTTTTTTTTATTGATCATTTCAATTACTATTATAATTTTTTTTTCTTTTTGGGATGCGAGTAATAATTATTTTATAAAGAAAAGTTTTAATTGTCCAAAAATTTCAATCTGGGTCCATATAGAATAATTAATATTATATTTAAGAATATATTCATAAACAAGAAAGATTAGTTTTACATACCAAATTTAATACTTCTTGATAATTTAGGTTTAATACCGGTTTTCTCACCCCCGTAAGATCCCTCTTGTTGAACCACAACTCTTTTGAAACTTTTGATTCTTTTCTTTGCCTTCTCGTATTTGTTACGATGCTTAACTCGTGGATTGCGTTGTTCTTTCTTACGGTGTGGTATAAGACCTTTATTCTTGAGTATCTGATAATTAATCTGCCGTTTAGAACCATCTGGAAGTATGTCTTCCTCATAAACAACTCTATGAATATAATAAAATATATAAATATTTCAATTAGGATTTGAATAAGACATAAAAAAAGCAAAATTTCTTACTTATTATTCTTAATCAACTGTTCGTGCTCCAATTTCTTTTGTTTATCCTTAGCTTTCTTAGCTTTCTGCACTGCTAAATAAAAAGCATCTTCTTCATCTTCGTTTTCCATATCGTTTGCTATCTTTTCATCATCATCATTCCAATCTAAATCATCCAAGTCGTCACCATCATTCTGATTGTTTATTGGTTTAACTACACCCTTTTCCTTATCTTTATAAGGTATATCGGTGTCCCCACTAAGGCGAATCGCCTTTTCACGCTTAGCTAAAGTCTATATTCAAGTTGATACTAGTTAATTTAATCATATCCAAAAAATATTATTTAAAAAAATATAATAAATAGGGACCTGATCAATCTTCGCAATATGATGTCGCAGTGATTTTCTTTTTTGTGTCTTATCATTAGCATCCACGTCATCTAAAGCATCCAAATCTCCCAAATCCGTATCCTCCTAAATTTCAATAAATATCAATAAATAATATTTTCAAAAAGAAATATATATATATATAAAATAAACAAAGTACTCTTTTCCGCTTTTTTTTCTTGCTCTTGAGGCTCACAAATTCTGGTTCAATCAATGTAACCGCAATATTTGGTTGATCATTTATGCTCTCATGATCACTTTCTTCGCTCATAATTTCATCTAATTTTTGAGATTTTATCTTGATTGGTTCATTAGTTATTTTCTTTATTAATTTTCCTTTATCTGATTTGTTCTGAAGATTGGATTCTGTCAATTCATTGTTTTCTTTTTTTGACTTTGCAGTTTTAACTTTCTTGACTTTTAAATCAATTGATTTCTGTGGTTGCTTAATTATTTCATCAACTACCAATTCTACATATTTTTGAAGTATTAATATAAATACTATAATATAAGTTAATTACAAATACGTCTTAAAATTAAACACCTGAGTCTGCCATCTCATTTTGATCGATTTGTTCATCTGTCTCTAACCTATCAATAAACTCGTTAATTACATCTTCCATTTTACTTTCTAAGATCTCTAATTTGTCCCAAGTTGTTCTGAGGTCTACAAGCGCGTCAATTACAGGATGCGTTCGTAAATGACGTGTTCCAGACGATCTCAAGAAAAGGTAAAAGGAGATATTGGTAAGATAATTAAACAACGTATAATATTTTATAGATAAAAATTTCATGGCTGGATCATCTTTAATGTTCCTTTTCTTGGCCCTAATTTAATAAATGATATTAGTTATAAAATTAAATTAATATCATTCCATACAAATTTTCTTACTTTTCTATTATAGGTGTTAACGTATTCTTGAGTATCGAAAGTTTTTCTTTAAATTCGTTCATTAATTCAAAAAGCTCAGGTGATTCATCCTGCAAAATTTCTATAATTTCGGTTCTGGAAAGGTTTGAATAAAGACCTTTATTTATAATTTCCGGTTGTATTTCGCTACATAATTTTTGATTAACCAATCAAGAGAAATTAATATCAAGGATTTAATTAATAAATTTTGATTATAACGAGATGATACCTACCCTTGAGGTTCAAGAGCTATTTTTTTAACCTCTTGATTAAGCCTTTCCATGAGTTTTTTTTCATTCTCTATATCCTAATTTTTTTTTTTTTTTAAAAAATAAATATTTAATAAATAAAGAAATACAATAAATGAAAGAATGAAGTATTTACCATATCTTTTTTTGAGTCAGATCTAATGTCAAACTCATCAAAGAAATCTTCTTCAGACATTTTACTTATCCTTTTCTTTTGCAATCTTAAAGCTTCTTCTTCCTCTTCTTTTGCTTCATCAAAATCAGATAAATCATCCGCATCATAATAGTTCAGTTTACGAGTGCCCCAAGTCTGTGAATCAAAATCATCGATATCATCAATATCTTCTGAAGACACTAAATCGTCTTCTTGGTTTTCATCAGATGATGTATCACCAGTTTGTAAAGCAAATACTTCTTCTTCAGATGATTCAGATTCATCTATAAAATAAATTAGGTTAGAATCATTTAAATATCACTAAGAACAAAAATTGATAATTACCTTGTTTTTGACCGTCATCTATTAAAATTCTTCCTCTCCTTTCATGATCTAATTTAATTGATTAATGATTATTAAAATATATAAATATACAAATCGAATCGTATTCAATTTGACTCAAGCTCAATGAGATAAATTACAATCATCTTCGGAATCGTGTTCAATATCATCCCATGTATTTATGGCTTTTATTCTACCAGCCTGATTATCGTATCTATCATTGCCAGTTTCAATTTGAATTGAAGGTTTATGAAAAGTTTTTTTCTTTCTACCCATTACAAAATTTTCACAAAACAAAAATAATAAAAATAAAATAATAAATATTTGTAGATATTAAGAGATATTAAAAATTTTTTTTTTGGATAATCGGGAGATTTATATGTGACAATTACGTAATTTAATGATCGGCAGAATTTTGATAAATTATTTTTTTCCACCTAAAAATAAATATATAATAAATAAAAATATTTTTCATATTTACCGATCTTTTTATAACGTATTTTTTTTTGAAAATGAGAAATGCACTAACATTATAAACTTGCGCACAATGCAAATTACTCTGAAGAACGGTCTTAATTACTTCATAGTACGATAAGAACAATGACTCAATGAATTCTGTTTATTTTTTTTCCTTTATTGATAATTCTTGATAAAGTCGATAGATCAGGCAAATAAATATTCTGTTTTCAGCATTTAGTGCAATCAGAAAATCGCTAACGTCATTATGATAGCCATATTTACGTTACATCTTAAATATAAATATAAATAATAGGATGTTTTCAAAAGGAATGTCAGTTTTTTCCGCTAAACTTTTGTAAATTTTATCATTGAATTCTCAACAAAATATGGAATATAGTGACACACAAATTCATTCAAATTCATCAAAGGTAGATATAATTGATAAGAAAGGAATGAATCCAATTGATACAACTGATACCAATTTTATAGGCAGCAGTGATTCAAATCGAACACGCGTTTTAATGCCACAAGAAATAAGTAACACATTTCGAATAATGGCTTATCGTAAATCAGAGAGACAAGTTAGAGGTCGATATCGAAGACGATCATATACAAGAGTATTTTGGTTTATAATGTTTATATTATTATATTTATCATTGATTGGAGCCGGAATTGGTGGTTTATTAAGTAAGTTGATCATAAATTAATAATAATAAACGTCTTGAAAATATTTATACGACATTAAATTCTTGTAGAGAACGTTAGCACATGGAAAAGATGGCCAGAATTCGCGACTTTCGTGGCGGCACTTGCTTTAATGATGTACGTTTACTATAAGGTAAGTTTTTGACAGATCTTCAATTTCACCATCATATATGGTAATGCCGGTCAAAATTTATAATTTCAAGATACATACTCATTTTCGTTGATGCTTATAGATAACCGAAGTCGTAAGATGGTGCTTTTATTGGTAATATTTCATAATCATTATTAGACCCTTAATTTTTTTGCGTACGTAACTTTAATTAATTTATGATTATCATTACGTAGGTTAGCAATTGCTACTATAATTCTTTTGATTATAAATAGAGGTTCGCTTACGCCTGACGATTCACAATCCCCTTCAACACGCATTGTGATAATAATTCTTTCCTCCGTTGAAGGCTTAACGTTATTAATATGGATCATTATTCGATATATTTATCCACGTATCGTTAAGGATGCTAAATGGTTGGACACAATATGGTGGTGGAGAATAAAACAATCGGACATTCATCCTTATAAAGGAGATGCCGTTGGATATTTTCATTATTACGCCTGGGAAAGTTATAGCCTTTGGTTTAGACATGGACTTGTTACTTATGTTGGTGAGATTAATGCCGATGGCCGACCTCACGGACGCGGTGAATGGGTTGATGATTCATTTGATGGAGAGTGTTTAAAGGGTAATTCCTCATAATAATAATTCGTCATTTTCAAATTTCAAATTGTCTTTTTCTAATATTCTAAAATGAATTATTCTTCATTCTTTCAGGTATTTGGGAAGGTAAACTTAAAAATATCTTAAATTATGCTTAAATACATCTAGAAATCATTTGTTAAAAAAAAAATATTTCTATCATAGATGGAGTACCTATTGGACCCTTTCAGGCAAGAGGCACGGGAACAGGAGACGCGTTTCATACGGTTCGAGTTGGACTTGTAAAAAATAGTTATACACCGTGGGATGAATGGAGGTTTTATCCTAGACCTTATAATAGTGGAATAGATATAACGGTTGCTTCTGTTGAGTGCTCTGTTTCTGGCAAATATTTAAAGCATCTTCCACGGTCCACATTAATATTTCCACAAAAATTCGATGAAGAATCAAATAAATTGACGATGAAAGATTGTTTGGAATATTTGACAACATTTGCTTCCTTCATGGGACCCGATTTTGATGCCAATGATGCGACGCAATCTTCAGTGATAATTAGAATGAATGATGAAGGATTTGCGATTACAGGATTTTACCCCATCGATAAAACTACTTCCCGTAACGAGGTAGTTATAAGAAGGGTTCCTAAGGAAACAAGGAATTATTCTAATATCGAGTATACTCTCAAAATTGACGGCTGGAAACAATCTGGCACCACTAGTGCATCGGGACATTGTGAGGGTTTGATGGTAGTATTTGTTCTTATTTTGATATTATTATTATTATTTTAAGAAAAACCATATTTATATTTTTTTTTTAATATTCAAAGGGATTTTTTTTTTCACTAGGAATGTATCGTATTCATACATGGGTTCAATTGTCCGTCAAAGTTTGCCTTGGAAACATTTGGACAATTTCTTGCATTGGCAGATTTTCCTAGTTACATAAAACCCTTTGTGTTCTCACCACCGAGTACGAACTCTTTGTGGTATTTTGGAGTCAAAAAACAGGCATCTTCGGAACAAGCGATTAATGGTAAATATAATTAATTCCAAGTTCTATTAGCAATGCGACGATTACGTTAGATAATTTTACAATTAATGTCATTAGATTTTCGGACATTTTTACAAGACCTTCGTGATGCGGGATTTTGCGCAGTACATATATTAAGTCATTCAATGGGTTGTATGTTGGCACTACAATATGCAGAAGCATTTGAAGAAATTTTTCAAATGAAAGGTTCAAGTAAAAGTCAAGATTCGGAGGAAACATTAATGAAATTACCGACGGTTACATTACTTAATCCTGATACCTCTTTAAATCAATTCCTTATACATGATTATGCTAATTTGAATAGATATTGTGATCATATTACAATATATTCAAATGAGCGAGATTTTGCATTGAAAATAGGTGAATTCTTTGAACATGACAAAAGTTTGGGAAGATATACATGTGATATGAAATGTCGTGATGGAAAATTATTAAATGTTGATTTGATTGATACAACTCAATTGGATGTTAATATGCATAAGATTAGACACAACTTTTTTAATTTAAATAGATTGTTGGTAGATGATTTACGAGATATTATAGTTTTTGGTAAAAGAGCAAAGGAAAGAAGAACGAGACTAAGTAGAAAAGTTAAAGGTGTTGGGTTGGAAGGTATCGTATATACTTTCTTGGTTGCTCCAAGTTACGTCGTTAATAAATGATATCTCGCGACAAATTTTAGCGATTAACATTTCGCTTATAGTATATTAAATAAAATGGAAAAAAATGGAAAAAAAAATTTCCAATTTGACCAATCATAATTTTAAAATTAAATGAAGTAACACGTGATTTAAACTATTCATGCAGAATTATTTAATTACAAAGGTAAATTTATTTTACAAGAAAAAAAAAAGATATTTTACAAGATTTGATTAATTAATTAATTAATCAATGAACGCAAGAATTATTCCAAAACAAATTTGTTTGTATAAACTGATTCTAAAAATTTTCGTTCGGTTATATCTTTAGAAAGGGTAGATCTAGTACCAGAATACTTGACGATCATGTCAACGTTTCTTATAGGTAACCCTTTTTCATCACCAAAATCCCTAAATATTTGTATCCAAACCTCAGAAGGAACTTTTACTAAAACGCTAGAGTTAAGATTATTTAATAATAAAATTCTCGCCTTACTCATTAAATCAATCATATCGACCGTTGCGAATGAATCAAATATACGATTTTGATGAAGATATTTTACAATTCTTGAATATAATTGATTTTTACTTTCGTCAAAATGATCAGGGATTGGAACTCGATGAGAGGATTTTAATAAATACAACGAATCGAATTTTGCAAAATCTACACCTGGTGATAAATGTAAACCTTTAGTATTAAAATGAACGTAAACAATATTTGTGTTGTGTAATAAAGCTTCATCTAATTTTTTCAAATATTCAAGAGAAATCTTGGATTCTTGTTGAGATAGATCAATATTTTTTAAAATCTTATTTATCTTTAATAAATCCGCGATAGCTGATAAACCTTTGTCACCAATATCATTATTTTCCAAAATCAATTTTTTTATAGAACGATTTTTCTTTAAAGCTTCAACGATTAATAAAACACCATCATCATTAATCTTTGTATCACCTAAATTCAATTCAGTAAGGAAATTATTCTGTTCAATGAGTTTTGCAATAGATTTCGCACCTTCATTACCAACTTGATTAAACCTCAAAGAAATTTTCCTTATAGGACGATTAAATTCTAAAATACAATTAATCATAACATCAATCTCTTGTTGGTTTAACATCCTTCTCGAGAGAAATATATCGATAACGTTACAATTTTCAGGTTCATGACCAACTTCATGACAAATTGAACAAATCTTTGGTAATTTAAACCTATAAACTGACCCAGGATTTTTCATTGTATTTCCCGAAATCAAATATTCATTACGATTACGAGATAAATGAAACAATAAATCATTTAATGATTCAAGTTTGGAGAATCCTTCATAACGAAATGTAAACCTTCCACTATGTCTAAAGTATTGTAAATATGAAATGGTTTGCCATGGTAATAATGATGTTAAAAGTTGTCCATTTAATGTTGAATTATGAAGCGTTATAGGATATTCTCGAGGTTTTGTTGAAGTTGAAAGGGGAGATACTCGAGACATTAAATTTGAATTTTTAAGATGAAATTATAAAATGTTTTGAAAAAAAAGTCGGAAATTTTTTTACGACCATTTTTTTTTTTGGTCATTATAAATGAATTTTTTATCAGCCAAATCAATAATACATTTGCCTCTAAATGTGTCACGATGCTTTATCACATGACGAATAATTAATTATATGCGTATCCTATTTTGTAAATTAGTCACTTCATTTTGGAGAGTCGAATTTTTATTACTAATGTATTATCTCTTTCTACGCCGAATCTTCTTGCCTTCGGTAAACCGATAATCATGAAAATCATGAAAATCATGCTGATCATCTTATTGATAATCATATTGTAATACACGTGATCAACATTGATCAACATGGTACTGTAATCTATGTAATCTATGTAATCTAAGAGATCATCATCATACGATTGTCCATCATTATTTGTTTAACATTAAAAAAATATAATTGATTGATTTGATCGTTTATATTGAAAATTTAGAACCCATCGTATACCAATTATAGTGTAGAATGGGTATTGTTTAGAAAATAAATAATTTACATATATAAAATTTTATTTTTCAAACTTGAATGAACAAGAAAAAAAAAATCTCTAAAAATTATATTTAGCCAAGAAGATAGAACTAACAATTTTAAATCCTATTTGAAGTATAGGTGTAAAAGTTTGAATAAGCCTTATCCAATGTTCTCTGCTTCGTCTAATCTCATCGATTCTTTTCTTTATCATTTCCAATTCTGTTTCCTTTTCACTTAATAACATCGTTAGAGATTCTTCACGATTATCCTGAATTTTTTGTAATAAATCAATGTTTGTAACATTTTGACGTTCAATATTTTCATCTAATTCTTGAATTTTATTTCTAAGTTGTCGTTCAACTTGTTCATGTTCAGATTTCAATTTATCAAATTTAATTTGTAATTCGTTTTCCTCAGCAGCACATTCCAAGTATCGTTGTTCAGTTTCTTGCATTGATTTGATTTGATCCGCCAATTCACCTTTGAGAATTCCGATCGATTTTAGTATCGTAATTGCATCTTGATATTCCTGAGATTTAAATCTTGCCATTATCTTTTCCGTTTCTGGACAATCTAATAAGGTATCTAATACCTCTCTCTCAAAAACTGCAATCGCATTATCGAAATCTTCTTGGGACTACGCAAAATTTTGTTGATTCAATTAAGGGTAAAAAAAAAAAAAAAGAAAAGAAAGTAAAGGAATCCTTACCTCAAAGATATTATCTTTGTCAAGACCAACCTTTACGTTTCTATCCCATAATCCTTTAGCCAATTCTAAATTATACTCATATAAAGATTCGGAATTTATTTTATGAAAAATTTCAAATTCTTTTTTGATCTTATTATTTAAATCGCTCTCAAAATTCTTTATCTGAGTTTCATCTCCGATAATCCTTTTAAAAAATTCTGTTTCAACTTGATTAAAAACATTTAAGTGAACTTCATGAAAGTCGGTCCAATTAAATACTTCGACATGCTGCACATTTTCAAAGTCATCATCAAGGTTATTATCCTTCCCGGATCGTAATATGCATTTCATACTCGTTACGTACATTTTAACACATTCATCGATGGCTTTTTGAGCAACGTATTCGATAATCGATTCGTATTCATCCGGTATCGATAAATGAAAATTTGAAGATTCGGATGTATCATTTAATTTACTGACGCACTCTTGAAGGAATTTCGTGAATGATACCCCTGACATGGTAGATGATCCGATATACTTTGGTACCGAGGTAGATAGAATCTTATTAACCGAACTAGTAACTTCCACGACGAATTCCGGTTGTAAATCTGACGTTGATACCTTATCCAAGTTTTGTAATTGAGTACGTTCTGCAGCCGGCATCTATAATGCATTAAAAAATTATTAAATTATTAAAAAAAAAAGAAGATACAAAAAATACTAATGTAATTAATAATAATACCATACCGGCAGAGCAAACACGTCAAAGTGAGAGAAATGTTTTTTAATCCCTTCAGCAGCTAATATATGAACAAATAAAAAATTAATTTGCGTAAAAGATGGTTTTATATTGTGAAAATTATATACATACCCTCTTCATTAACGTGACCCAACCTATCCAAAAAGTACTCCCTAAAATCATCGGGATTTTGTAACATGAAATCCCTAAGTAACACCACCATTCTGGGTAAAAATTCATAATCGGGAGGTGGTCGAATATATTTTGTAAGGTGAGACATCAAAAATAACTTCCCAATGTCGTCCCTACCAACAACACCATTTAAATTATAAATGAATGTTGAAGAAATCGTTAAACATAATACGAATAATCTAATCGCCCATTGTTGATTCTGTTTGGGATCGTCGATCCCCTCACAATCTAATACGATAATCCTTTTTCCTTCATGGTAGAATGGTTGATCCCACATATAAATTCCCTGAGTACATCCATCTACTGTCGAACCTAAAAGAAATCCATTATGTCTACCGAGTAATAAATTCGCGAACCATGATTTCCCTCTACGATATGAACCCACTTTTTAAAAAAAAATAACGGGTAAAAATTTTGCACGGCTAAATAAATGCTTGCGAGACAAACATGCTTTATGTAATATAAGTAAGTGAAACGCATACCAACGGCAATTACACAAATGGGTTCTTCTATAGATTTAATAATATCTAAGGCTTCGTCGTTAAATACAATTTTTCCGTATTCGCTAGGGTTTCTTTCATTCTTGATGTATTTTAAAAGTTGAATTGGATTCCCTTCACGAAACGGAATTCCTTTTCCAAATTTATTTTTATAATCGGACATAATTATAGGAAATTTTTTATTTTTATGAGATGAGGAGAGGATATAATTTAAATTTTATAATGCTTTTCACAAATAATCTCAATTTAAGACAAAAAAACAATGATAATTTTCGTACATTTTACTTAATAAATAAATAAATGGTTAGTATCATGGAATATCAATTACAATTAAGTGATTCGAAGATAAAGATGATGTTTTTTTCAAATGATTATGCGGGTCAACAGGTTGTTTTTCTCACTTGTGTAGCGCTTGTATGTTAGTTATGCAGGGACAATAACATTCAATTGTATGGTGAATGGCAATCATATGATCAAAAAAAAAAAATCCTAAAAAAGTGAATAAATGGGACGAGATTTGATGAGCTGGTAAAAACCACTAGCTTTTTCTTAAATCTTTTCCCTATACACGGTTTTTAGAAACAAGTAATGAAATGATTGAAAAAGTCCCAAGTTTAGATTGCTTATTATGAAAATATAACCCGATTGGTTTATAAGACACTAAAGCTTATTTTTTCAGATCATTTTATAGTAGCATTCATTTGTAAAAATCGAAAAGAAAAAATAATTTGTTGTAGTGTGGTTGAGTAATCATGTGACCAAGTATAGCATATGGGTTATGATCTAAGAAAATCAGGTTCTGAGAAATTTTTAACTAAAATTAGTATCTTATTATATTTTAAAATGCTCAATTTTATAAAAATTTGATTTTCTTAAGATCAAGACATTAATTAGGGCTAGAGATCAGCAAGTTTTACACTCCTACACAAGAAGACTCTTTTTAACCTTTTTCTCCGATGACAATTTTTAACTCGTTATGATATTTTCTTCAAGAATTTTTTTTTGAAAAATTTTCCTTAGCTAATTATAATGCTAGTTAAAATTCAAAGTAAGAGTGCGTTCGATAATTATGGTCAAAGAAGGAAATCTGGTATGCTCTCTCGTTCTTAATTTTATTTTATTCTATTATTTTTTTTTAAAAAAAAAAAGCGTCTCAAATTAAATTTCATTCTCTCTCTTGAAAATATTAACTAGATTTGTGGTCGATTTTTGGTTGTAAAATGATGGCTCCAGCATTTGAAGAGAAATTCCCGAATGTACAATTTCTTAAAGTCAGACACTGATGAACAATTTGTAAGTGTTAAATCTCTTGCTATGTTTACGTTATAGTATATGACGTTTTAATACATGTGTTTTATTTTCTTGAATAAAAAAAATAGGAACTAGCGAAAGAATATCAAATTAAAGCCTTGCCTACTTTCTATTTTTTTCAAAGAAGGGAAAAGGTTACAAAAGGCTGATGTTGTTTGTGCCAATAAATCCCAATTAGGAAAAAAATGTTGAGATCTATCAATAAATATCGATGAACTAAATCATGTTGCATTTAAATTCGAGAAATATATCTGAATTTTCAACTTTATAAAGAGATTTCTCACGTGTGATGCTTTTGGTAATGCCATTGCTAAAATTTTTCATAATACAATGACAAAAGTTTACATAATAGGGCTTGTGTAAAAAGTCTAGTGATGAGGTGATCAGCCTCAAAAGTACCTTGTTAAAGAACTTTTCACACAAAGTTGTTTATTATTATATCTGTGCGCACAGTTTATACGAATGTAAAAAAATTCTTTTGCAAACTCAATTACAAAAATGAGTGAAGGTAAGTAAGAAAACAAAAAAAAAACATATAATATAATAAAAAAAATTTAATCTACGAATTTTATGATAATCCATTTTTTTTTTACAAGTTCCGTCAACGATGTTTGCTCTACAATTAAATGAAATTGGGCCCGTGTCCAATTTAAAATATGTTGAAATGAAAGTTCCGACAATTAATTCACCATATCAAGTGATTGTAAAAGTTATTGCGACTGGAGTTAATCCTGTCGATTATAAAGTTAGAAAAGGATTATATCCATTATCGAACATCTTTGGAGTTCCCAAGATTCTAGGAAACGATTTTTCTGTAAATAAATAATAAAATAAATAAAAATAAATAATTTTAAAAAAAATATTTTTTTAAAAAAATGACAAAATAAAATTTCATTTAGGGAATAGTTGTCGCTAAGGGAAGCAAGGTATCGGAATTTAACATCGGAGACGAAGTCTTTGGTAAAGTTCAAAATCCATTTATCGGAGTAGGTACCTATGCGCAGTATGTATAGAAATTTTTTTGATTCTCTCTGTGCGTTAATAGATTAAGGTTAGTTAATTTACGATCCCTTTGGTAGATATACGAGAGTAGACACCAAGGGAGATGGTATTGTAAAGAAACCTGCCACGATTACTCATCAAGAGGCTGCAGGATTTGGAATTGCAGGAATAACGGCGTGGACCGGGTTGATTAATGTTGGAGGTTTAAAGGTCGATGAAGAAGCCAAGGAAGTTCAAAAAAAGATCTTGGTAATTGGAGCGTCAGGAGGTATGATAAAAAAAATTATATCAAATCTTGCTTGAATCTTGTCAACCTCATAATTATTATTATTATTATTATTATTATTATTATTTTTTAAAAAAAAAATCAACCAGGTGTTGGAACCTTTACAGTACAAATCGCGAAGAATATTAATCATGCGCAAGTGACAGCGATTTGTTCGGGTAAAAATGCAGAATTAATTAAAAAATTGGGAGCAGATCGTATAATTGATTACACCAAAGAAGATTTCGTTGAAGTATTAAAAGAAGAAAAAGAAAGCTTCGATTTGGTAATCGATTGTGTTGGAGGGGATGAATTTTATACTAAATCCATACCGATTTTAAAGAAAAAAGGGCTCTTTATCACATACGTTGGACCCGATACTTTTGGTGAACGTGCTTCAACTAGTGATGTTTTATGGTTGCTTGCCATGATGGTCAATAGAAACCTTTTCGGTGAAAGAAGTTATAGATTTGTACTTGCTACATCTCTGAAGGATTTACCAAAAATGGCTACGTATTTAGAGAAGAGACAGATCGTCACCGTTATCGATCGTGAATTTGATTTGAAAGATGGTCATCAGGCTCATGAAATGATTGAGAGTCACAGGACAGTTGGAAAGATTATCTTGAATTGTAATAATAATTAGTATCAGATATCAAAAAAAAAAAAAAAATTTTTTATAATAATAAATTTGGAATATTCCATTTATAAAATGAAGTGTTCTTTTTTTGTCTATCATTTTATTTCATTTCACCATTTTGGTAAGAATAAAGATGAAATCCGCGGAAATTAATTACATTGTAACACGACGTTTACGTTCGTCTCGTTGAAAATTGTTATAGTTGTTACAGTTGTTACCTTCGATATTTAAACACGTTTTCATTTGGTAGTCCAGGCAAATGACTAGATACATGACAAAAATCGTTTAACCTTCTGTACATTGACCTTTGAGAGGAGCGCATCGAAGTTACTGTCGCCGCAGCTGAACTTTACGCAACGTATCTAACGTATCGTGTAACGATATACGAATCTCTAAATCTTTAAAATCTGTTTTTTTTTTGTTCTCAATGAAAAAATGTAATACGTTATAAATCATTTATTACAATCAAAAAGGTCGTGTAACTCTACCCGGAGTAACGCTTCCGAGTACAGAGGGGTTTCATGCAGACATATCATCGAAAAAAAAAAAGATATTTAATGTACGATGAAAATATGACGAAGAAATAATATATATATATATATATATTTTTCTTTATTTTTTTTTAAAAAAAAAAGGTCATGAGATTCATATGGTTACTAGTTTTACTCATTTTAATAAAACAAATTTCAGCGGATTGTTATCAACCGACGGATTTGTTAAAAAGCGGAAGTCAATTAAAACGAGTTGAATGTAAAGAATGGATAGTCGAAGATCCAAAAGGTGGGAAATCACCCACGTTCAATCAAGAAGGGTCACCTCCCGAATCGATGTTTCAAGTGACATTTACGTGTGGATTAATTAATCAAGATGAGTTATGTCAAAAAGTACAAAGCTCATTTGAAAACGCTGCTAAAATAATTTCCAGCACAATAAAATTAAATACACAAATAAAGGTAAATGCTAAATTCTACAACTTTTGTAAAGAACCACCAAATTGTTTGGAAGAAGATAGAGTTATTGGAGCAGCGGGAGCAACAAATTATTATTCATTAAAAGATGAAGTTGACGGGTTTGAAAGATTGTACCCACAAGCATTGGTTAAACAATTTAATTTTCAAGGGCATCCAATATATGAAGAATTTGATATACAAGCAATGTTCAATTCGAAATTTAGTTATCATTTTGATGGTGATGTTAAGCCAATGAATGCAACAGATTATGATATTACCTACATCATAACGCATGAATTAATTCATGGATTAGGATTTACGAGTTCTTGGAAACCCTTGAGTGTTGCTCAATCCGCCCCACCATTGGGTCTATTACCTGCAATTGCGACAAAGGATGGTATAATCGTGAAAGAATTCATATTTGATAAATTCATGATTCGATTAGATGATGGGAATTTTACTTCCGATTATACCAAAGAAATTCAAAAATATTTTATAGAAAATAAAGATGTAAATGATGAGGTTTCTTTGGAAGAATTGATAAAGGCCCCTCAATTTAAAATAATGCAGGAGATGTTAAGATTATCTACAACTCCAAAAACTTTAGGATTCCTACCTCATGACTCCACTGATTACATCCGAGATTCTGCAATATTAGAAACTTCTTTTCCAATTTTTAAAGTAGGGTCCACCTTGTCACATCTAGACTTTTCGACTTATTTGAATACGAGTGATTTTTTGATGATGCCCAAGGCCATTCCTGGTAAAACTCACGACGAATTGATCCAACTTAATGGAAATTATGGTTTGATTGGTCCGAAAATCACATCAATTTTGGAATCTATCGGGTATAACAAATAACTTTTTTTTATTTTTTTTTAAAAAAAAGGAGGAATGTAAAATTTATTTGCCATTTATTATTTTTAGGTATGCAACCACCGAATATCCGAATCCAAGTATACCTCAACCATTCCAAAAACCAGCAACACCTGATACCAATGATGACGTTACACCTAAAACTCCTGCAACGATAAGTACTAATGCTGCGGGTTCAAAAATTTTCAACTTTACATTTCAATTTTACATTTTAATATGTATTATTTCCTTTATAAATTTAATCTTATAACACGGGTTGATAATGTGAATGACATACATGTGTATATTTAACTTAATAAATTGATAAATTATTTGCAAATGATAAATAAACCTTGGGGTTTTTTTATTTTTATTTTTTTTCCTCTCCATTCTTTTCAAAAAAAAAAATTTGTGGCATATTGATTCTCGATATTCTCGAAATTGTTGATATTATTTGCTTTGGAGAGTAGTATTATAATGGTACATAAATGAATGAACTTTTATAGATACTATAATCAACGACGCGTAACATCAGCGTCGTCAGTGTAACAACCAAATAAGCGAAGGGGGTACACAAAAAAATTTTTTCAATCAGTCTTTAACACGTGATTTATGAGAGAGGTTTTGATGCTGATCACAAAAAAAAATAAAATAAAAATTTGTAGTTAAAATTTACCTTTGATTAAAAATTCTTGATCAAAAACATAAAAAAAAAAAAAAAAACAGATAGCATTCCTCCAAGAGAATAACATTTTTTAGCGTAATAATTAATTTTTCGATTTTCACCCTTTCTATTGTAAAGGTCGTGATACATACCAACCATACATGTTAGGTTTTATTAATAGGAAGAATTAAATAAAGGTCAAGGTCATTTGAGGTCATTTCAAGGTCATTTGCCAACACTGCTTTTTATTGCAAAGTTCCCATATGATAATATTTATAATTAATTATATAAAACTTTTTTTTTTTTTAAAAAAAAAAAAGAGTAATAATAAAAATAAATGCTCTTCAAAACCAATTTAGCTTTACATGTGTATGCATATAACATTACAAAACTTCATTCTCAAAATAAAAATTCGGCTTTGAATGAATTCCTCCAATATGGTTAGAGCGATTAGCTGTTGCATGGAGAAGAAACGAATACATTTTCGAAATTTTCGAAATTTTTGAAACCTCTTAAAGAAAATTGTGTGCCTTTCTATCAATATAATCATTTCAGTTGAATCGTAATATATATACAACAAAATCACGGTCAAGCATTATAATCGAGGTCACAATATTGTTTTGCGCATTTTTACATCACGATACTTAACTAACGTATCCATCAGGTTCGTTTTAATCAGCAAAGAATAATGGCTTGTAGTGGTATTTGGCTAGTTTTATTCTTTTTATTTCGTGTATATACTAATAAAAAAAAAAAAAAAGAACATACCATTAACTTTATCTTATAAACACGCGCAAAGTGAAATTGTAAGTATTTATTTTCCATACATCAAATAAATGTGTTCTTAAAAAAATATATTTTTAGAAATCATAGAATATATATTTATATAAATATATAAATAGAAAGGAAACAACTTAATAAAGAATCATATTATCGTAAACTTAAACTAACGCGAATATAACGATACAAAATGAATCAAAGGAGGAAACCATATAAAAAAAAATTTTTTTTTAAACCTAAAAAATAAGGATGCTGTAATCGAAATTCGTAAAATGTAAGAAAATAAATAAAAAAATTCGAATGAGAAGATCCTGTTTTCCAAATGAATCGATTAAAAGAAGACCGACTTAAATATGTAAATTAATAAATTTGGCAAAGATTAAAATCATTCTTTGTCTTGTAGTAAATATCATCCTACGTAACTTGATTATTTTTCTCCTTCTCATCTTAGGTCTTTGACGATTATTATTATCTTGATTTTGTTGTTGAGAACCGCGTCGTTTATTTCTAAACATGTAGAGGTTAATGTAACTTACAAGGTGTTTTGGTTTTGATTATATTTTCGATAAGTTCTTTTTTTTTTTGCGAGAATTAGATGCGGAGAAAGAACTTAGACGATGGAAAAGTACTTTCTTGAATCAAGACGAATTCTAAGGAAACGAGCGACGGGAATTAAGAAATGTCTTGAAAAAAATTTTTATTCCATGTATATTGAATGACTTTAAATATGTAAATTTTTTTTTTATTTTCACCAACAAAAACCTTTGGCAAATCATTTTATTTTTAGACCTGCTATATGAGAACATGTGTACATAACCTATTCTATCTGTGGTTTAAAATTTATGATAAAAGTTGAGTTGCTAATATGGACGGGTGAATGCAAGCTTAGAAATGTGGCAGATCGATAATAAAATTTTTTGTAGGAAAATAATTTATTTGACTCTTTTGATGAGATTGAAAACTGACATATTGATTGATGCGGGTTTATGCGTTGTTTCAAACACGTGTTATCTGTTATTCTCACAGCGGCTTGTATGTGCTGACATGAAAGTATTTCTAAAAAAAAAAAAAAATAAATAAATAATAAATCATTCTATAAGGCATAACATAACATACAAGCTAGTCTAGTGATACCTGACGAAATTACCTTTCTTAATATGACGAAATTGACGAAACCGATATGACGAAACTAGTTTTTTATTAATGACATAATTATTTTACTTAATTGCCGAAATTATATTTAACTTGATCTAAATTCCTTGAATTAAAATACATAAAAAAATATAATAATTTTATATTTATTTATATAAAAATATTAAAGAGACGAAACCTTTGACGAAACTACAATTTTTCAAAAAAGAGTTTAGGCAGGTATCATTAATACAAACCCTCCTTACCCCCAAAAAAAAATAAAAATAAAAATAAAACAAAAAGATTTGTAAGACTAACAAATCGAGTTAACAAGTACATGTGATTTATTAAGTAATGATGATAATTTTTCATTCTTCGTTGCTGCAGGGTGAGAACAAACGTCTGAACTTTCTTTTTTTTCGATTTGCTAATCCATCATCATTTTAGGAGAACAACCAATTTAACTTTTTTTTTCACCAAATATGCACGCATGCATCACGAGATCTTTTATAATTCTGGTGAGGATATTTGTGTAATTTTGGTAATCCTCCTTTCTAATAAACAGTCACATGACTTACGTGGAAAACTTGGACAAATGATTAATTATAATACAAATATTCCACCGTTATCAGCATTAGAGATGGAAAAGTCGACAATGATATTAGCAGAAGGTTTAATGAATATATTTAGCTAAATGGATGGAGAACATGACCAAAGGAATGACGCTTAGATGACTTACCTCAATATTCCAAGTTATGATATCATGTATCTATCAAATGAAATTGCGAGGGAAATTTAGCCGGAATTTAATCAGTAATTCTAAGATTTCGTCAATAATTACAATTGATACATCTTCAATAATAAAATTACGAAAATCAGTATTTATGATTTGATATAATTCCAGGAAATTTCGAACACAATTCGGTTAATCCAGCCTTTTTATTTTAAAAAATAAAAATAAAGATAAAAATAAGATTTCAGGTTATAAACTTTACCTTTGCGAAAGCTGATGATAAGTGAAAAAAAAGAGAAGTTTTCCCCAATACAATAATAACATGATTAATTCAAAATTGAACTAGTCTCTTATCTATAATGTAATGTTCTGTTGGAAAAAAAAAATCCCTTAATTAAAAAAATAAACTTTTCAAAAATTTGACCAAAACTGGCCAAAATTTAAGTTTAAGGCCATTTACCCGTCCGAAAATGGTCAAGGGGCGACCTAAAATGGACAAAATTGTCCATACAAAACAAAGACGATTTTTTTTTTTGTACAAATTTTTTTTTACGCTCAAGTGAAAAAAATAAACGTAATCAAATGAACGTTCACTTACGAAAAAAGGGATTCTAACTAGTTTTCATATGTGTCTTTGCTAGATTAATTACTTATTGTATCATATCGAAATAAAATGATCTTTTTTTATTTAATTAATTATTTTTTTTTTATCAATTATCAAATTTGCAAAATCAAAATATTCTTTTCTTTCCAAGCGTTGCTAAGAGAATAAAGTGATGCATGAGGGTTGATGGCGGTTCAATGAAATTAACATGGAATAATTATAGATAGATATATTTTTATCAAATATGTTTTTATTGCTCATTTATGTTTTATTAGCAATTCATGCCATTTTTCTTTGATGTTTTTAAGGTGGAGATTATTTGTTAACTAATTAAAACGAAAATTTTAAAAAGTGTTCGTATCTTTTCGCCCAATATGTGTATTATTCGGTATTAGGTTACACTGAATCCATCACACCAGATTATGCCAGCATAACTAATAATCGCATTATCACTCACATTCAATGTTAGAGGAATAATATCAACAATAATAAGAATAAATTCGTTAAAGGTATATACCATATTTGAAAGTTAAAAAGGAACAAAAAGGAAAAAAAAAAAAAAACTTGAACTGAAATTTTTTGTGATTTTTGTACACGATATGCACATATCAGCCGCTTAGCGGCTGTGAACAAATCTGCCAAGGATTGATCACCCACCTTTGATGAGGCTGAAAAATCACTGAGGACGATGAAGTTGATAATAAAGAAAAAAAAGTCTTAATTACTTTTATATATGTATTTGAGGATAGATACGATTAAAGTCGTGTAATTCAATAAATCCGTTTTATTAATTTGAAAGGCGAAAGAAGATAATGTAACGGTTTCACTTGCTCAAACAATATAGTAAAGAATCTAAGAATTTTCTCATATTCTCTTTTTTTTTCTTAGCCACAATGGAATTCATTGAATTCACTGAAACCATTCTATTCATCACATAATAGAAACCTTAAAAAAAATTTGCTATGCATGAACGCGTGGGAAAGATAATAATGAACGATGACAATAATAAGCGAGATTTCGAACTTATACAATGCGTTCAGCCCACGGAATCCTTAATCCAACTTTCTTTTTCCGCCTTTTTCTTCCTTACAATAATTCTAGAAGTAGACACAAAAAAAAAAAAAAAAAAAAAAAAAAAAAACCTTTCAAGGTGCGATCAATCAAATCAATCATTAGTGTTGGATTTTTGGGATCTTCGAACTTAGAACAACCGTTTTCTTTTGGATTTTCCATTGATTGATTGACAATGCCAAATACGTTATTGGTTAAGCACGTGATTATCCTGCGTAGGAATATCGGTTCGATAGAGAAAATTTGTGCGAAACGTTTTGGTCATTGTAAATAAAATGTGTCTAGAAAAATTTCAAACCTCATCCTTCTGGCAGTAAAAGATAATCTCATGTTAGCATCTCATGCTTGTTCATACAATTGCTGTGCAAATTTGCGTCAAGTTCAAGAGTGGTGGAAAAATCGATCGTGCAACAAGGCGAAACGATATACTCATTGGATGATAAATTTTACTGCGGATCAAATGCATTGTTTTTTCCGACCCTGACTTTCTCCGAGGGAATCGTCCGTCCTTCAACGATAAAAGGGATGAAAATTGCAACGTTGCGAATTCAAAGGCAACCTTTGTCCCAAATTCAAACCTTTGGTTGCTTAAATAAGTCCTCATTATGTATCACGGATATTTATTAAATCTCGCGCGTAAATGTGAACGTGACGAATTCACGCGACCAAGATTTTCCATAGAGGTTATGGAAAAGAATTTATTATTGATCAGGGAACATGCATTGTGATCATTAGGATAATCAATCATTTTAAAGAAAACAAATAGTTAAAAATTACTGTTTTAGCAGATTCATTTAATAAATTCATAATCGACATAACAAAACTGCAGTTCAAAAGAAAAAAGGGATTTACATGAGAATGGTGTTAGGGGGTCAAGTAGAATGAGAGATATAAGTTTGAATTTGGTAAAGAGAATTTCTTGTAACCTATTTACAAGTAATTAAAAGATGCAAAGGTCACCCGAGACTAACCCACCTTTCCTTTTCATCATACCACAAGACCTACAGTTGAAAGAGGAACGTGATCATCTGCTAAGATTTCATATACGTTTTTGGAATGAATGTAAAGAAAATAAAGATGAATGTGCCTGGTAAAAAAAGCTTTGTTTCATCTCATCCGTATGCGTTGATAATTAGGGGGCTTCCCTTATTGATGGCTTGTGGCAAGTATGTGGCCTTATTGAAAATATCTCAAGTGGCGTTGAGTGGTTCAACGAATATGCAAAATTTTGGCTGGTTAATTTTTTTTTTAAACTTTGATCAAGATTCGCATCGCACAGGACTCGGATGTAATCATCAATCGTGGCGTTCAAAGATGACCATGTGAGAACCAGCATATAATATATCAAAACAACGGTCAACAAAGTCTCTTTTCAATACGTTTTAAGAATAATAATTAGACCCAAAACGCAATGAGATGAAAGTATCAAAATCCCAAACGTGTATTGTTTTTAACGGCATGCAGCCAAGTTCCCTGAGCCACACATCACAATATTAACGTGATTAGTAAGGCAAATGTAACATAATGGGTACACTAGTACAAAATCGTTTTTGTGAAGGAAACACAAACCACAAAAAAAAAGGAGTTCTAAGGCTTGAACCGGGGCTTGGTGAGCGGTAACCAACCCTAAATGTATCAAATTCTGCGTTGTGTGACCGTGATCAAGTTTCAGGTCTTTGGCTGATTGACGTTATGTGATCAGGCGGAATGCATTGACGATCACGACCGCAGCAGCCTCTTTGTCTGGGAGAGACTGACCAATCAGGTCCGTCGAAATTGGGGCTAGTTTAAATCATTGTCCCCAAACATTATGCCCGAATTCAATAACGTTGGTAATATATTTAACTTTTTTTAAAGTTTATGCCAATGCAAATTTGGTCATTAAATTAATGAAATCATTTAGGAATGCAATGATCAATTATGCGTATAACATGACACCACTTGTTAAGATTCTGCATGAACAAGGTCATGTGTCACCATTCGATATGAAATTTCTATTGAGGAAGATCCTATTACAAACGGTTAAGATTATTTAGATGATGTTTAATTAAAAATGATTTCCATTTTAGTCTTTATAGAAAAAAACAACTTTCAAAAAAAAACAGGTTTTAGAAACAGGTTTTATTTTTTTTTTTGACATTGTGGGGTCCGGTCATGGGTAAATTTGAGTAACATTCTTAAAAAAAAAAGGTGTAATATGATTAAAATTGTAATGTTACAAAAGTTCTAAAAAAAAATTAATTTTTAAGCTATGCATACGAAAAAAAAATATCTCATTCAAAAAAGTAGTAGTAAGTAAGGCGTAAATAAAAAAAATATTAATCATTCCTTTTATGTGGCAACAAACAGGAAAAAAAAAAAAAAAAAAAACTAGTTCTTAAATATGGAACGATTATCCGAAAATGAAATTTGATATCATCTAATTTGGACACCTGTTTATTTCTTGATTATAAACTTTTAAGATTTGCCTTTTAATTTAAAAAGCTACCATAAAAGGAAAATTCATTCTGTGCAGGGATTTCAAATAAAAAAAAAAGAAGTTCAGAATGCATAATGTAAAAGTCAAATGTGTGTACACATTCAGATTTTAGGTTTCGTGCAGATTGGCTTTTTTTTTGCAAGGGGGGAGAAAAAGCGTTTTAGAATTTTGAATGGTGAACACATGGTCAGTGCATAGACGTTCACTAATTGTATTTCTGACGAAAAAAAAATAAAAAAAAAATTCTGAAAAAAAATTTTTTTTTTTTGCCTTTTTAAGGGGAAAACATGGGAAAAAATGTGTATTTTTAATGCGCCTAACGAATATAGAACACGCGTACCATGATATACATTTATTGTGGGGTTTACATTAGGGTATACTAGCTAAAAGTGGTTTTTTGATACTTGGTTATAACTATATCTTATGGTTGGGTTGTGTATTTGTACTGCAAGGTTAGATGCAATGGCGATTTTTCTTTTGTTATGAAAATGACCCCAGAATTCAAAACAAAAAATAAAAATGTTTGTAAAATGTAACTTTAAAATTTTTATTTTCCGGTTTTTTTTTAAAACAGAAGGGGATCTACAACTTTTTTTAATCTTGTTTTCAAAAGAAAAAATTACAATAAAGGAGGGATTTCTTATTTTAGTAATTTTTCATTAAGCAAACTTTCTCTAATCGTACTCTCGTAAACCATAAACAAATAAACATGTAAACGTTATGACCTGACCGATAAATTAAATATTAAATATGTGCACGAGCGTTGAGTGAAAAAAAATAAAAAAAAAAAATAGCGAAAAAGGTGTTACCTAAGATAGCTGACAGACGGATGGTTCGTTGGTTCTCACCAGGATTGCAAGACGAAATACGAGATGGCAAAAAGAGTAGAAAAAAAAAAGGCTGTAGGAGAGAGAACATATGACAGGCAAGTATGTAAAGAACAAGTTCGAACCGGTTATTCTAGGTTTATCAATTTTCTAATCAGATGATTCCCAAATATATTTAATTAATTTCCATTTCTAAAAGGATGGGGAGTTCTGTCAATGAGGTACAAATGAAGCAATTTTTTTGACGATCAAAGATAAATGTCAATGGACTTTATTTACAGGTAAATAATAAACAATATAAAACAATGATAGTTTAAAAGTATAATGAACCTTCGTCTAATTGTGCTACCAATTTGTTAATTCGTATGACCTTCCTTGACTATGATGATATTGTTTTAAAGAGATAGACTATTTTCATACTGATAAAGTAATGATTAACTGATTTATCAAGATAGGCTAAAGAATTAATAAGAATTAATTCAAGTTATACAAGAACATACATAACATCATGTGTCACGCCTCCACCATTTCAACCTAGAACCCTTTTTTTAAAAAATATTGAGGCATAACACCTTAAAATTATACTATAAAGTTTAGTATAACGTCAATTTACCATAATAAATTATTAGATAGTTTGTTTGTTTTATCAGATTAATTCATCATGATACGTATGACCGGTGCTTTATTTATACGATGTTTAATTTTTTAAAGTGGAAATTATTTTAATTTATATTCATTCCTTTGAGGATTACCATCAATACAATGTCTATTGAATTCAATTGTATGTTTCACAAAAAAATTCTTGGCTCTCAGAGTGACAGTGACGTCCAAGGTTCCGCACGGATGAACCGAACTGTTTCAGTTGTTTCAGTTATTTTAAAAACGAATCCACTCAGAAAATTCCATTGAATAATTAAGTTAGACTAGTGACATCAAATGTCTCTTTTTCCAAATATGTTAAGAAGCATATTAGGGTAATTTATTTTGCGGGATACAAAGGTGGCATTATTCTCAAATATCCCTTTTTTCCTCCGGAGTGTTATTCCGAATTATTAGAGCAGTTCATTTTGGCTCATTCTGAAGGTATTCTAATAAGTGTAAATTGTATAAACATTTTATGGATGCACAATATTGTTTGTATATTTGTGTTAATCGGTTAACGACATTATTTCAACAATGTGAATTTTGACGTCCGGATGTGTCAAATAACAAACGAAAAAAAAAATTTTTATCGAGACGGGAGAATCTAAAAAAAGCCATGAAGATTACATTTCATTTTGATTTCATTTATTTTTTTTAAAAAAACAAGATTTTAATATCTTACGGCTGAAATTTTAAAAAAAAAAATTTTTTTTTTTTATGCGTGTGTACGATAAACTCTATTATATAAAAAATTGATACACATTATTATATAATAAAAATATTTTTTTCTGGGAAAAAAAAAAAAAATAAAATAAAATATATAAATTTAAGGTCGTAAGTGACGATTTATTCTTCCTTTATTTTATAATATATGAAAGCCGAGTTGGGGTATCATTCGGTTTAGACATGCCGAAAGTATATTATATATTATTTTAAAATAGAAAAAATTTTTTTTTGATCTTTTTGTTAAAAATGATCATCATTTTATTGTATTTTTTGTACTTGAGACAACTTTTGCATTGCATGTATGAGCCTTTTTTAGATTTAAAACTAATTTAATATAACGACAATCAATTCCAAAAAGTAACCTTTGTCATACTCATTTAGTTGAAATAAATTAAAGTATATAAAAAAATAAATATATAAACCTCTGACTGATGAAACTACTTTTCTTCACTCAACAAGCATCGTTGAAAAAAAAATTCAGATTTCTAAATCGTAACAAATACAAAATATTTTTTTCGATAAAAAATTCTCTCTAAACGACAATTTACAAAAATGACTGATAAATCATCCCAACAAAAAGAATTCGTCTTTATTAGTGTCGATGGCAAACAAACTAAAAATATTGCGATAAGCCCACCTGAAAATTTGAAAATTGAATCCCCTCCAACATTCACCGATTCGGAACTTGGACGTAACCATGACAAGAAAATGCAGGGAAAATCAAAAAAACCACCGAATGCTTTCATATTATTCAGAAAGAAATATGTTGAATCGTTACATCGTCTAGGCCATCGTGATGCCATGAAGAAGGTTTCCGGCTGGGCTCGAGACGCCTGGAACAAATTACCTCAGATGGAGAAGGAGCAATACGAGCATTATGCGAACAAGGCTGCCACATTTTATCAAGAATGGGAAATAAAAAATCCCCAACTCGTTCGTCAAAAACAAACGAAAAAAACCAAAAAAGCTAGTCAAATCACACAAAATATTAAACCAATCGTTCAAACTCAACAAATGCCTGTACAATATACAACACCGACATCATCTCCTGAATCGATCGAGTTGACCGAAGAAGAGTCACGGAATTATTTTTCCTTTGATCCAAATTTAATATATTTTACTACTACTTCTCCGACAGATTTCGTTTATGAACAACCACTTTACGATTATGGCATGTTCAATAATAATTTGGAATCAAGCATTCCAAATATTACAAATATTACACCAACTTTGACCACCGATTTTCAAAATTTCAATTATAACTTCGATTTTGGCGATTTTTATAATCCAAACGTCCATTATAGGGACAATTCTCAAATAGCTTGATCGGAATTCTAAGAATTCTATATTTGTATACATAATAAACAATATATTTTTATCCTTAAAATTATTTATTTAAAATTTTTTATTTTCATTTGTATATTTAACAAACAATTAATCGGCATTAATTACCTATATTTCTATTTATTAACACTTTTGTTCTGTATGATAATAAAAAAACTTTCGATAAGTTTTGGCGGTATAGCATTATCACTCTGGCGAATCAAAAAAAAAAAATAAGAAAAGAAAAAAAAAAAAAAAAAAAAAAAAAAAAACTTCGAATCGCAATCACAAACAAACAAAAATTTCGTTTACATTATGTTATAAGGAAAAAAAAAATTATACAACACAATTATGATTTTAAGACTTAAGTAATTTATTAATTTTATGAATTTTCCTCGTTTCTTATGCATTTTATATTTTTACAAATTTAGTCACATTATCCGATTTATTTAGTTTCAAACTTCGAGTTTTGATTTTTTTTTATTTATTAATATTTTTATCTTTTTTATTTTTTTTTTGGCAATTAATATACTTAGCAAATTTCTTGTATTCTTTGATCATATTAGAACAAAAGAATTTCTTTTCTCCTTATTTTCTTAAAAAACGATAATAAATTTTATTTAAAAGCCTCATCTTTTTTTATTTATATATATATCTTCTTGGAGGGAATTTTTTTAATCATCGTGGAAAAATTGGACATTTATTCTTTATATATTTTTTTTTGTATAGTAATCTTTTTGTATTTTTATTATTTATTGGAAATTTCTTGGTTGATCCAGAAAAAAAAGGACGTTAATCAAAAGTATTTAGTAAAAACAAAAAAAAAAGTTTAATAATATCATTTTTTATCTTTTCTTCAAATTCTTCTCATTTTATCTATTTAATATTGTTTATAATTAATCATTTTTATATTTTTGTAAATAAAGATCATGAAATTATCGGAATTTCTTTTATTTTTAAAATATCTTTGAAGAAAAAAATCTTATAAATGATAAAACAAAAAAAAATAAATAATATAAATAACTTCAAAAAATTTGCGATAAAATTCTCTAATTTTGTTAAATTATCTATATGATATTATTTTAATCGATGGTAACTTTTTTTAAAAAAAAAATGATTGTATTTACTGCGCATCCCGACGTTCGTAGCACAAAAAGTACATACCTCTTTCTTAAATTTGTGTTGAAGGTTTATCCATTGCGATGTCCAAAATGAAACAAAGATTTTTAAACGGTAACATGTTGCATGAACGTTCTGCACGTGACGCAGTTTATTTCGTTTCATTTTCTTTATTAAAAGTCCACGTTTCACAGTTAATAATCAAAGAGGATCTTCGAAACCAAGTTTCATTGGATACCAACATACCTTCTTTTTTGTTTTGACCTGATGATATGTGCATTAAGAGGCATACCGGATGGGGGGATGATCATGAAATACATGAAGGAATTTCAATTTACCCATTTGTATCACCATGTAAAAAAGGAAAACTTTTCTTTTTTGAAAATTCGATTACCATTCCGTTTTAAGAAGGGTTACATACATATCCTTGCGTTTTGAAAGAAGACAAAACATTTTATTTTTTAACAATGCAGAAGTGTATGCATGTCGTTATGATATTAATTTTTTTCTTCCTTTTTTTATTTTAAAAAAAAAGAAAGACAACAATTTTTTCCGATGCGGGGATCTTTGTAACATATTGTATGATAACAAAGATCCTTTGCTTGGAAGAAAAAAAAAAAAAAGTGAGGTAAGGTATATCATTATTTACGGTGCGTCATGTCATGTACAATGCGAAAAGTATACTTTGGCATGATCGCATTCGATATCAGCAAATCACGCTATGACACTATTCTGAACAACGAATGGGTGTTTCATTGTGTTCATGTATTATGAGGCGCAGTAATTTCCTGGTATGGTCTAGTACACAATGTCCCACATTTTAGTTTTTCAAATTGAGGAAAAAAAAATCTTCCGATGAGTCCGGACAAAGGATGACTAGGTACAGGTTACATTTTTTACATGACGCGAGATAACAAAGGGATTCATAATGTAATATGTATATATGTTCGTCTTAAAATCATCGATATGCATGATAAGGATTTGCGTCATCTGAAAATGAAACTACTAATGAAGCAAAGGGTAACTCATAACGAACACGATTTCGTAAGTTGGGAAGTACAATGTTTTAGGTATTTGTAGCACCTTTAATAAATGATATTATACAAAAATGGAAATATTACGATTAGGTTGACAACAAATCGCGTGGTGCTTGACGTTTCATCTCTGCATACCGTATTTCGGCTAAATGAGAAAAAAAAAAAAAAAAAAAGTCACCCTACTCTTAAAAAAAAAAATCATACATGATGGTTATTTGTTAAAACCGTTAAATTCAACCCCACAAAAATCACTTTGGAATCTCGGCATTGATGTGAAATGTCCGAACCATGAATGAAACATGATTAGGAATTTATTAGATATGATCTCTGGATAAACTATAGACTTGAAAGAAGCTATTGTATCTTTGATTGTGTTCATGTAACGATCAAGATTGGCAGTTGGGCAGTTTATTTCCATTTTAAACGGTTCCATTTAAAGATGATGACGATCATCTTCTTTTCGCCAAAGGATCGTTCATCATCATCATCATCATCATTATTATTTTTTTTTCAATGAATTAATGCAACTTACTTTTTTGGAATTTCAACTTTATTAAACGCCGTACAACTTGCATAAGAAAAAAAAAAAAAAAAAAAAAAAAAACTTGAAACAATGCATTGATGCGCGTGTATCACGGCGTGACCCCGCTAAAATGCCAAGTGACACCATTTAAAGGCAATTTCTTAATTGCAAGTTACACACACTTCTTATTTTATTGTTATTAAAATGATTACACGACAGACAATGAACAGGTTTTTCCATTTAGAAATCAAGTTATGTCAAGAATGTTGGCGAAAAAACTGTAATACAGAACCTAAACTAAAATTGTAATTTAAATTGATTGATGTTACTTAATTTAGATCATCTTTATTTTGCATTAGAATTTATTTCAAAAATAGGTTAAAATAATAAAAAAAAGATCTTTTTTTTTTTTCGGTTAAACAAACCATCTCCTTTGTTACAAAAAAAAATTATATTAACTCAATTTCGGTAATTTGGCAAAATTACTTTAAAACTTTAAATTATTTATATTAAAATAATAATAAAAAAAGATTAAAAAAAAAAAAAAATTGAAAGCACTATTCCATTTTTCATTATGTCAGGTTTTTGAAAGGTCAAGCACCACTAATTAGTTTCATCTCAACTTTGATAGATTTACAAGCTTTGTTTCCTTTTGAAAGGACTCGGAAGTTATTATTTTAAGTAAGTTGAATATTTAACAATACCCTTATTGTTGGAAATGATCGTCTTCAAAAAGGGGCCTGGATTGCCCTTACGGGTTTGTTTTAAAGATTTTCAAAATGTTTATGTAATTATCGCGCCGACGATCTAAATGTATCATGATTAATTTAAAGGTTATTACTAATTATGGGATCGAGATAAATTCATTTAAAAAGCCAAGAAAAAAAAAAATGTATATTTAAATCGCTTTACCAAAAATATACTGGGCGTAAATAAAGTTTTTTTTTTTCATTCTTAAATTAACAACTAATAAATAATTTAAATAAGTACAATAAGTACATATATTATTTATATTCTATTCAAAAAAAAAAAAAAAAAAAAGAGTCATTTTTAAGCGTGCATGTATCTGCATGTATCAATACGAATGTACTTTCTTACAAAGTGAAAAATATTCTAGAAAAAAAAAGATGTTGATATTGCATATGCAACTACCTTTCATCATACAACATCATTTATTTCCGTCTGTCCCATCGATTTTCGTTTATCACACATGTGTTCACACTTTTTTGCTTATGATTCTTGAAAGCAACTGTTAGTCTCTCTGTAAGATTTACCGCACATAAAAGATAAAAAGTAATAATAACAGAAAATCGATTATGATGAATGAATCTTGGTCTAACCGGTTTTTGCCTTGTGTAGCTCAGATGTTCAAGGGCTTGCATCCAATTTTACCATAATCGAGGTAAAACGATAAATTAAAAGCTTGACAATGAAATTAGAGTTTGACAAGATTTTAATGTTCTTTGTTTAGGTGCATGATTGTGCTGACATCTTTAAAGCTTGTCCCACGAAGATTATTTATTAATTTAGTTTTGGTAACTCCTTTCCTTTTTGTACCCTACATATTTGTTTGTCTTGCATGATTATTTAAAAAAAGTACTTTTTAGGTAAATTAATTAATTGCACTAAAGTAAGCATAAAAATTAAAATTAATCATGGTAATTTAAACTATTCTATTTTATCGTGGCGTGCTTTATGTGCCCCGAAATTTTGTGAACGCCAGCATAAAAGCCTCGACTTACGTTAATCAACATAATCATCACACATGTGTGACTAGTAAATGTTGGATTAATTTCAGCGGGATTTACATAATTTCTAAATTAAGGATGTGAATACCTAGTATGCACTAAGAGAAAATTCACAGGAATTACATAATTGCTATGAACCCAATAATCTATCCTATAATACTTCGCGCGACAATTGGCTTTATAATGAGAGAGACGTTATACATTGTTCCGTGTTACAACAATCGTTTTCTAATTCCTTATTATTCCAAAGGGCGCCTCAAAAAAAAAAAATAACACGTGGTTTCCAACATGATCTTGTCAATCATGACTTGTTTTAGCATGAAGGCATTAGTCGCCCGGTTATTTAAGCTTTTAACTCAAAAAAAATAAAAATATTAATAAAAATAAAAATAATAATAATAATAATACCAATGTCCTTATCCAGAAAAGAAAATGAAAAAATGTTTCGTCATCTAACAAAATGGATAAAACCAAAACTTATTTCGACGAGATGGCAATTTTAGATTAGCGTTACCGAGGATGCAAATAAAGGAATTTCTCTTGTTATTTATATCATACATATGTCGTGTTATAATTTCTTCAGAAAAGTTGATGAAAAAAAATATATATATCATCATTCAACTTGAGGAAAAAAAAAACCAAAATGAAGAAGAATTTCGGAGAAACGAAATTAATCAAATTAATCATCCTTTCAGCATGTAGCATGTGGCGCAAGACAATTGTTTCCAAAGAACACGTGAATGATGAGGAAACTGGCGCTGACGCAATGTCCTTTTAGATGCCACATAAAATGTTATTTATTCTGCATATAAACAATACGATTTGAAAAAAAAACAATCAGGCATGAAGAATATTTAGGTTAGCATCAGATTTGATAGTCGCTTGTAATCAAATGCTCGAAAAGTTTTATCGAGATTTAGATGTCAGATCGTAAAAAAAAAAAAAAAAAAAGATTTATTTGTTATAATGGGAATTTGGCTTTTTTTTTTTTTTATGTAACTTTTACTATAAATCTTATTTTTAAAGTATCAATTTAATAACTGTACGCCCAAATATATATATTATGCGTTAAAACAAAACAGGATTTCTATTAATTTTAGTCGAGATCAACAATTAAATATCATAAAGTAAACAGAAATATTGGAATTCATGGAATTCGAATACAAAAAAGCACTTGGTCAACCTCGTGATCGTCGGCAAAAGTTCCTTCTAATTGGATTTTTTTTTTATTAACCAACTTTGCTTTGACTTATTAAGTAAACTTGTGCTCTGTAATGGGACACATATTTTGAAATGATTATGTAGTTGTATTTTGTATTATTTTGTATTTAATATTTTAAGGTAAAGCCCGAAACATGGTCCAATTCAAATTTTTCGATAAACCAGTCAATATTAAAAATCATTTTCTTATATTGAAGTAACCTGATATTTGCGTAAAAAAGAATCTTATATTTCTATTGCTTATTTCACATTAAAATCATTTGATCAGTATGTTAAAAAATAATGACTATTTGGTTTTCATTTCATTATCCTTTCATCCTCATGATCACAAAAACTTTCATTGAAAAGCAATTCCGCATTCAATTACTATTTTAATTTTAATAGTTATGTCAGTGCGGTATTTTTTTTATTATTATTATCTGCGCTAATGCCTCTGAGCAATTTTCATTTTTGATTTCTTAATCTTCTCATAATCATTATCATTCTTTTTAATCGCCTTGAACTCCATAATCACTGATATGGATAAACTACCTTTTCTGTTTTTGATACAATTCTAGTGTCTAAAGACCGGACCCTTGGTTTGATGATAAATTAAAATCTCGATACGTACACGAATTGACAATGGAGTCTCTTTTATGTTTAGACACTATAGCTAACACTTGAAAATAACTTTCACTTCCTCATCGTTGGCATATTATCTCATGAAGAAACATCGTGTGTCCGGATTAAATAAAGTTCCATCATTCAACCGTTCCTTATAGTTCATGGTGAGGTTCATTCGTACATGATTATACCAATATCGTTAAAAAACCAAAATATCATTGAGCAATTTTTGCCTACCTTTGTGCTTTAGATATCCATCACCGAAAAAAAAAATTGATTACCCAAGGATTTTTATAGAGGAATACTATTTTCTTCTATCTTTAGAGCTTATCTGCCTATAAATTTTTCCTCCATCTTTTCAAGATATTTATCAGTACTATGTTAAACTTATAAATCCCAATCCAACCTTAGCTTTGATTATCTTCATTCTCTCCATTATGCTTTCTACATGTTATATATTTTGATCAGAAAAAAAAAATATGCAGCTATTTTTTTCCGCCTTAATGCAAATTGATCAGATCAATTTCGTGATTTTCATCATATGTAAGATAAAATTTTGAAAATTGCTCAGTACTTCCTTATTAACCCGTAAACAAACTTTATTTCCAAATTTCCAAACTAGGTCACAGTCAAGAAATTTTTGTAACCTTTTCAGGCTTAAGTACTTAGAACTAATTATTATGAGTGATTTTAGGTTTGGATACTCTACTAGAAGTGCTTCTGGATTTTTATTGCTAAGTATATATGATTCACATTTTTCAAAACTAATCTGGCATAATTTAGACATGTTTTACATACAGTACTTCAAAAATATCTATATTTACCTCTAAATACAATTTTCTGATAAATTTCAGAGATAACACTTGTACATATAATGCTAACTTTAACTCCAGAAACAATTGGATTTATTTTTTACCATATTATTTTGCTAATATAATAACTATTACTTATTGACCAATATAAGTTGACTATTTTCTCAGTATTCACCAAATGATTATAACTGGCAAATGACTTAAATGACAAATGATAAATGACCTTTTATTTTGATAATCAATGACCAGTCATTTTAATAATTTTTAATATATCATATTTTGTAAATTTTTATTATTTATTTTGTTTATTATAGTATAAGTAAATTAAATATTTAATTATATATACTAAAAAATATTTTTTTATATTTAGCAAAGATTTTATATATAGTATTATAAATTATATTTGAATTCTGAACAAGTCGGCTCAAATTATAAGTCAAACAAATCCAGTCAAGTTGAATCAAGTGCTAATCTCAAGCTAAAAAATTGAACAATTATTTACTTTTATTATTATTTCTATAAGGTGATAAAAAAATCGTTCTAGAATAATTAAATATATTATTCTAATAAAATGATAGAAAAATCATTCTAAAAGAATAATTAAAACCTATATTCTAATAAAATTATAAAAATCATTATAAAAAAAATAATTAAAATCATAATTCTAATAAAATAATAAAAAATTATACCTTTAGAATGAATGAAAATATCCTTCTAATAGAATGATAAAATTATTCTAAAGGAATGATTAAAATATTATTTTAATAGAATATTTAGAATAATTAAAAACATTATTTTAATAAAATAATAAAAAATCATTCTAAAGGAATAATTAAAAATATTATTAGTAATAGTCTAATTATGATACATTAGTATTGTATCAATTACAATTAGCGAATGATAATCCTGATGATCACAGATCTTAACTTTCTTTAATTTCTCTAATTTCTATTATTTCTCTAATTTCTCTCATTTCTATAATATCTTAGCAATCTCTAATTTTTCACATTTCTCTAATATATTTAATTTCTTATATTTATTACATTTCTTATATTTCTTTAATATCTATTTACTATTGATGTATTTTAAATAAATATCTTGTATTTCTTTCTGCCTTAATAAAAAAACAGAATCACTACAATTCTCTAATAAATCAATAATATTTATTTCTAAAATTTACTTTTGCTTGTTAAATAATTCATTCTTCTTTAAATCTATATCAATAAAATAATCTGACCCTTCAACTTAATTATTTATATTTATTTCTTCTATAGTTTAGATGTATTTAAACTCCATACTAGCAAATAATTTTTGTTAACTTAATGATAAACAGTTTAAAATTATAATAACATTTGATAAAATAATAAAAATTGTTCTAATAATACAATAAAATATTATTTAAAAGAAATGATAAAATGTACTATTAAATAGATTGTTGTAATAGAATTATTATTCTATCAGAATTAAAGATGGTTCTCATAATTATTTTCAAATTTCAATTGAGTTGCAACTTAATTACGCCATAAGAAAATTTAATTGCATTACAAGTTGCAACTCAATTGTGTCATTTTTTTAATTATAATGATCATTTTTAATCAGATTAATACTTTTTATCATTCCTTTAGAATAATAATTCTTCTATTATTCTGATAGAATAATTTTTTATTATTCTATCAAAATGATGTTTTTAATCATTCTATTTAAATGATTTTTTATTGTTCTATCAGAATGATTCTTCTATCATTTTTTAGAATATTGTTTGTTTTTAAAATAATTTTTTATAATTCTATCAGAATAATGAACTTTATCATTCTAATAAAATAATTTTTTATCATTCTATCAGAATGATGAATTTTATCATTTTGATAAAATGATTTTTTATCATTCTATTAGAATAATAATTTTAATTATTTTTTTAGAACAATTTTTATTATTGGGAAATAAAATTGTAAAACTCTTAACAAATCACATTTACTTAGTAAAACTTTAGAAAAAATTCTCAATTTTTTAAGAATACCACTAAAATTTTTTGTAAAAGCAAATAACTAAATAACAAATAATTTAAATAATCATAAATAATCTTAATAATTTATTATTTGTCATTTATATCATTTGTGAAATAATAAATACTAAATAATTTGTGATTATGAAAAAAAAATAAACAAATTCTTTAAATAGTCAAATAATTAGATTATTACCAAATGCTATATTTTATATAGTATTAAAAAATTTTTTTAAATAATTTATTTAATATTATAGTTATATATCAAATAGTAAATTCTTTTGATTTTATGAATATAATTGAAATTATTTTTTCAGGCTTATCATTTTTTTTTTTATTATTACATTTTGAATTTATTATTTTCAATGTATTTATTTATTTTTCAAATTATTAATTGTTAATTTATCTAAAATAATAAATCCTCTGTATAGATAGATGTATTTTATATAATCACCTAATATTTTATATTTTTCTAATACTATTTTGCATCTTCTTGCTAAAATAAATAGTATTATATAATAATATAAATCTGGTTTTTAATTATTTGAATATAATCATCATCAAAATAATACTAATATTTGCTTAATTACTATTCTGCTAACCCATTTATCTGCTTTATTTCTGTAAAATAACTTGCTCACTGATAAAGAATATCTCTTTCACTTATAAGATACTTAAATATTAATATATTAATACTATCTGTTAATAATTCTATATTTGATCCAAGATTTTTCACCAATTATAAATTATAATATCCTGCAAAATTAAAGTAAAATATTCTTATATGTTTGGATTCTACTAGCTAGTGATATTAATTTAAAAATTATTTTTATAAGCACAAAATATAAAAATATGTAAAAATATTATGTAGTTATAAGTATATCATATGAAAAAGTAAAATAATAATAATTGTAATTATAATTTATTAGACATTATACTTATCACACTATCCCAATTTATAATTACTACTAACCCTTTTATATTAGCTCAATAAATTTCATACTTTGTATTAAAACTAATAAGATTAATATTATTATATATAAATACTTTAAATTCAATAAATCCTATTAGTCAATATATGAATAATAATTATTAAATTCTAATTTGATATATTACCTTTATATGTTTCAATCCAAATAAATACTCTTATATAACCTATTTTATCTAATGATTTTTTTTTATATGATAAATTAATAGCTTTTCTAGAAGTTTTAGTAAAAATTGCAACCTTTTTACAACATATGTTCCAGTTGCTTATAAGTCTATTTACCTTTTATTTCTTCATATGATTATATTAACTTCTTTATTATAACAAATATATACTTCTAAAGTATTAAAATCAGTCTTATAATGAATCATAAAAATTATTTTCAATTTTAATCTATTATGTAGTTCTATCATAGAATTTGATATACTTACATTGTTTTTTTTAAAAGAGAAATCTTTAGATTGCTAAGTATTATTATATTTGTATTTTGAACTTTCAATAAAATACTTCAAGAGTTATAAGTAATTTGTCTTATAGAAATTAAAATTCAACAAAAAGAAGAAGAAAGCTAATTAATATCTTAGTTATCCTAAAAAAGTTTTATATTTAGAATGTGATTGTAATATACAGAAATAATAAAGTTATATAAGAAATTAGTTAATGATATAATATCAAAAGAAATAATTAGTAAAAAAAGAAAGTAGAAATTTCTGAAATCACTTAAAATAATTGAGAACAGATATTATAAGTAAATTATACTAGAAGTAAACTTATCAATAAAATTAATAAATAATATCTAATATTACTAGAATATAAAATAATATAAATAAGCATATATTGAATATAAGTACAGAATGCATTTAATAATCAAGTCAAAATTTTATATACATTAACATAAAGAATGTTATTTAGCAAATACCGGTGAAGAACAAAAGTATTGCACAGTTTTGATTTAGATATTTTAGTTAATTTATCAAATGTAACTAAGCCATATTTTTTTGTAATATATTAATTATTGATTATATATATGAAATATTTTATTATAGTTTAAATTAATATGTTGCAATTTATTAAATTGAATTTGAAAATACTTTCAAAGTTTGCTTTGACGCAAGTGATAATATAATTAAAAGACTTATCTTTTAGAAAAAAAGAGCATTATTAAAGCAAAAAAATTGGTTCAGTAACTCAGAAATCATAAATATTATAGGATATTATTATACAATAGTTATTTGATTTCTTTTGCAAGAGAAATATCTAAAAAACCAAATATTGAATCCGATATCGATGTTTAATAAATGCGATAAATTGAAAAGTAATATGTTTTTAAATTTTCAATTTTACACTTTGCAATGCTTTAATTTTAACAATTAGTTAAATATTTTATTAAGCATAAGCCAGTCAATATGTTACTAAAAAAATATGGCACAGTTACATATGATAAATTAACTAAAATATCTAAATCAAAACCATGCAATACTTTTGTCCTCCCCCAGTATGTAAAATTAAGAAAAGTATTTATTATAGTTTAAACAGTTTAATTATCTAATATATCATTTTATTTAAATAGTAGTAAATAGGAAATTATCAACAATATTACTAGATTTACATAAATAAAATTTATTTTATTTATCAAGTAACCCTTATATATAAAAAGCATTTTATATATTAAAATAAAAAAAATATAAAAAAGTAAAAGTTAAATACCTATTGTATTGTTACAATTTCTTTTCAAAGTTAATATGCTAAAAAATATAATTATAAGAGAAGCAATAATTTCTCTTATTAAACAGATAAAGGTATAGTTTAAAGATGTTTTTTTAAACTATTTTTAAAAAATTTGAGTTTCAAGATATTTGAGATTAAACTATTTATTTATAATGAATATCTTTACCTAAACTTCTAATAAATTTTCTTAAATTTAATTAAATTTAATCAAATTTTAAATTTAAAAAAAAGCATTTTAAAGGTTTTAAAAAGATTTC